TAATAAGTAATGAGTGTGCGGTGGACACTATGTTAAGCAGCAGAGATTCAATGGTGAAGATGTCAGACCTGCTCCTTGGCTTCCATGGCTCTCAAAGTGCAGTGGGAGAAACACAACCCCAAAACTGCATGTGGTTTGGACACACTGAGAGGACTTGCAATTCCGGGGAATTAACAAGGAAAGTGAATTGGCCTGATGCATCAGGGAAGATGTCCCCAAAGAAGAGATTACATAGGAGGAAGGGATTACATAGAAGTTTCTCTGCTGAGGAGTGCGGCAAAGAGTAGAGGAGGAGAGACAGCAGATCAGAAGGTTGTAAGGCTTTATGGGAGGAACCAAGGGCACTGAAATAGAAGGCAAGAATGAGATGGTTTGTAGAGAGGCAGAAGGGTTAGCACAGGACCAAACTGTGCAGAACTTTTATGAAAGACATCGGCTGGGCCTAGGGATGTAGCTGAGTAGTTCAGTGGTTGCCTAGCATGCACAAGGCTCTAGCTTCCATCCCAGTCCTGAAAACAAAACAAAACAAGACAAAGACAGAACACAACAAAAACGTGCAATCAACAGGCCTAGGAGGTTGATGGATGTAAAGTCTGGCTAGAACTGGGGAGGGCAGTGGTCCCATTTCCTGAGTTAGGTCACACCGAGGAAGAAGATCTGCAGGGGAAGATGATTCGAACTTTGAGATTTGTTGAGGATCCTGTGAAATATCCAGGTGACAATGCCCAGTGGGCGGGGCCATGGAGGTACAGGTTGAAGTCTGGGTGAGTTCAGAACAGCAGTGTAGGTCCGATGTACCTAGATCTACCATTGACCACGGTAATGACAGGGAGAGCATAGCACGTATAGGCTATGGAATATGGGACAAAGCCCTGAGAATCTACATGATATAAAGAAGAAACTGGCAAATAAGAGTGATTAGAAAAGCAGAAAACTTTCACAATAGTTAAAGGAAGCATGGTTTTAAAAAGAAGGTTTAACATTGCTAAGAAGCTAATAAGAACTAGTGATTTTTTGGTGAAGGAATGCAGATTTCACATTAAAGTGGGTTGGGAAACAGGAGGGAGGTAAGGAATTGTTAAGGCTGATATAGGTGCTTTAGATCTAGCTGGGAAAAGGTGGGAGCAAAAGGTCAGTGTCTACAGGGAGACATGGGGTCGTGCTTTTCTTTCTATTGGAAGACAGCAGTGGTTTTATACATTGAGACACTGGTGGAGGTGCCAGCACAGGTTGGTGATGTGTGTGAGAAGGAACTGTTTGCACAGGGTCTCTGCGCAGATGAAGGGATTAGCATCAGCGCTGAGGCCACTGTAACAGGAATGAGGCTCAAAGAGGAGTGCAGGTCCAGGTAGGCTTTCAGATGTTATCAGGGAAGTTGACAAGAGTTATTTGTGGTGGCCTGTTTCTCTTTGAAGGATGACAGAGAGGGGAGGCAAGGGTTTTGCAGGTGTGAAGATGGGAGAGCTGGAGTGGGAGCTGCGTGGGGAGACAGCCTAGTGCAGAAGGCTGGCCTGAGTTTGCATCATGGCTGAACATTTTTTCTACATGCAGGATGCTTGGTTTTGGTACATGCTGAGCAGCAGGGGTGTGTGTGTGTGTGGGGGGGGGATTCAGGAGGATGCCTTTATCTTTTAAAAAAAAAATTCTTTCCTTTTTTTTGGGTACCAGGGATCAAACTCAGAACCTTGTGCTTTCGAGGCAGGCACGGGGCCACTGAGCTAAATCCCCAGCCTCTTTTATTTGCTTTTTTGAAGACAGGGTCTTCTATGAAGTCCAAGCTGGCCTTGAACTAATGAGCCCAGCCTCATCTCCAGCTTGCAGTGATCTCCTGCCTCAGCCTCCCAAGTGCTGGGATTAAAGACCTGCACCACTGCACTCGGCTTTATGCTCTTTTTTTTTGTGTGTGTGTGTCCTTGTTTTTTTTTTTTCTTTTTTTTCTTTTTTGGTACCGGGGATTGAACTTGGGTCCTTGCACTTGCACAGCAGGTGGCCAAACCACTGAGCTAAATCCCTGGCCCCTGTGCCCTTGTTTTTTAACACAAACTGTAGGATCTTGTATTTTTTTCCAGAGTAATGAAAACTTCCCTACTGAAGGCACTGAGGATGGCTACCACTTCTCTTAACTTTTGACATGTTAGTTTTTTCCTACATAAGAACCTTTAAGTGCATTTGGGTCTTTGTTTTTCCTTAGTGGAATTTCAGCCTCATCATGGAACTTAGTGACCAATTTTTCCACTGTTGTGAAGAGTACTGTATCTTTACTTAGTTCCAAGTTTTTGATACAATTCCTAAAGCCTTTTTTCTTTTTCTTTTTTTTTTGGTACCAGGGATTGAACTTGGGTCCTTGCGCTTGTGCAGCAGGCGGCAAAACCACTGAGCTAAATCCCCAGCCTAAAGCCTTTTTTCTAATGAGATTCTCCAGACTGTTGCTTTTGTTTTACTTTCCATCTTTCATATATAAAGAATATGAAAGGTGAGTGGGTTCCTGTAAGGAGCTGACACAGATATGACCTACTGTATAAAACCAAACCAGTTATTATACAGATCCTGTTGCCTTGCACTTAAGACAGTTTCTCATTATTGCAGTATACAAGTGGAATATATGAAATTTAGAAAGTGAAGATTACATTTAAGATGTTCAAGTTCTTACCATCATTTTTGGGGAAGGAGAAAGGAATGGGTAGAAAGACTCTGAGAAGAGGAGATGGAGGCCAAATGACTGAGCTTCTCTCAGTTTGTTTCTTATTTATAAACTAGGGCTAACAATTCCTAGAAAAGCATGAGAATTAAATAATACTATAGAGATACATAATATACAATCATATATATTAATAAAATGTTTTCTATGTATGAGGTATTTTCCATATATAGTAATATGAGTGATATATCTGTGTGTCATGATCCCTGCATATGATACAGTAATACAAAGGTTAGTTGTTCCTATTTATCATCCTTCCATAAGCTGCTCTTTTGTACCTAACAGTATTTATCAGACAACTTTTTACATAGCTGTTTAGTTGCATGGCAATATAAAACTTGTTTTCAAATTTGCTGTTAGTTTTCAAATGGAAGTGGATTGAAGAATTGCAGGGAAAGAAGCCTTATTTTAGGTTCTATCATATGGTTTACATGTGCTATTTCATCATCCCAGTGCCTTAGACTCTCTTCATTTTTTTAGATAAAAAGGAAGCCTACTGGAAGATGATTAAATAGACTCTCTTCATTTTTCAGATGAGGTTCTGAATCTCAAACTTGTCTGAGGGTGAGTTAATAACTGACAGAGCTTGGATTTGATTAACGCATTCATTGCTTTTTCTAACACCACAGGATGTGAATTTTTGTAATTATTTTCTTCTGTTCTATTTTAAGCGATGAAAGAAAAAAATGCATTTTCATATAATAATCATGTGACTGAGAAATTCTATTTTGCCATCTCAATGGAATGCTTATTACTAAAACATATGGTAGCTATGGATATAGTGCTGGGCATGGTGGTGCATGCCTGTAATCCCAGCACTCTGGGATGCTAAGGCAGGAGGATCACAAGTTTAAGCCTAGTCTGGGCAATTTAGTGAGAGCCTGTCTAAATGCAAACAAACAAACAAACAAACAAAAAATGGGCTAGGAGCCTGGGCTGGGGACTTGGGGATGTATAGCTCAGTGCAAATTCTGGGTTTAATTCTCAATATGGGAAAAAAAAGTATGTATCAGAAATACAATCCACTTATAATTCTTAAATTGTTCCGATTTAGTTAGGACCAGTGCTTATAAACTTCAACAGATACCTAGTCACAGGGTGAAAATATTTGTGGCTTAAGAGTAATAAATAGAAAATCCACTGATACATACATACATACACACATACACATATACATATTCATACATATATATCCTTTTTACTGCCATCTACAGCTGGGTTAACACATGGTGACCTTTCTCAATTTCATACCAAGACTCAAGCAGACAAATGTGAAAATACTTATTGGGCAATCCAACAGGCTATTTGAAAGCAGGGTAGTTTTATCTGAAAACTGGTTAACTCAATTTTGAGTAAGCTGCTTCCTTTTTGAATATTTGGAAGCTGAATTTTGCATAGTTACCATCTTGACTCAGAGAGAAGGAAGCATGATTCTGGCAAAAGATCTTTTTCTTATTTTGGATCAGATAATACTAAATGTGTATGGTCAACTAGATGCAAAATCTGTGGGCTATTATATTAGTGAAATACTACAAGTCAGCTTTTCAATTATTCTGTCATTTATGCTAACATTTACAAATTACTATTCTAGAATACTAACCAGTGGCATAGTCTAATCATGCTATATATTCGGAAAAAAGGAGACCTAAGATTTTGTCTTTTTTTTTTTGAAGACTGTTAAATAACTAATTTATTTATGGGATAATCTTAGGGATTTAGGAAAGATTGCTCTCATATGTATTAACTCTCAACATTTAAGCAAACATACTTTGTATTATTAGAAAGACAACTTTTTTCAGAGGTTTTGACTCTTTCATAGTCTAGACCAGCTGCCTATGTCAACACTCACTGAAATAATATTGCTTTATCTTTATCCACACAGTGGTTTAGCAGCAACCTGTCGTTCCTGTTGCTGGCTCTCCCTATTTTACTCTATGGCTGTTGGTTCCTAGATCTTTTTCTTGCCCCCATCTTCCAGTAGGCCTCTGTTATCTAAAACATGCTTCAGTGGAAACTTTTTCTGTAGCTTTCACTTTGACTTTTAGTTTCAACTCCCATTCACTCAAGCCTGCTATGTAACCTGTACTTATTTACATTTGCTGTGTTTTCCCCTTCCTGGCTAAAAGGAACTGAGTTACTGCCTCCTAACTCCGCGGTCACTGGGTGGTGAGGTTATTTTGGGCCATGGGGGCCAGGGGTAGGGCAGGCTGGGGAGAGAGCTAAAATAAGTCTCACTGCTGAAGCTAGCCTTTGGCTCTCAAGTCTCATGTACACTGCAGTCTAATTCTCATTAGGAACAGAATTTATGTAGATATTCAATTTATTAACTAATTATTTGAAAAACTGAGAAATACATCTGTGGTTTCAGAGGGATAGATTTCTTTTTATGGTTGGTTCCACATTTTAAAAATTACACAGTCTGCATTTTGAATTAAGCAAAAGGGTTGAGAAAGGTCATTTTTCTTCCTTTATATTAAAAAAAATGTGCACGACAAATAGATAAGGCAAAGAAAAGCTGTTGCCAATCTACAGTTGCAAGCTGACCATTCACTGAGCCAACAAGTCCACTGCAGCCATTTGTTTTAATGAAGTTACCCAAGATTTCCCCCTTTCCAAGCATCCCAGATATCAGATGGAGATGGGCTAATGTCATTTTTCTCACATATCTGCAAAGATTCTGACAGCCCAGAAAGGCTTTGCTTGGTGAATAGAAGAAATATCACAGAAGGGAATGACTGGATTTTATAATATTTAGGTGTTTTTTTTTTTTTTTTTTGAGACAGGATCTTGGTATGTAGTTCAGGGTGGACTTGAGCTTACTATGTAGCCCAGGCTGGCCTCCAACTTGAGGTGATCCTCCTGCCTCAGCCTCCTGAATGCTTGGATTACATGTGTGTACCACCATGCCTTACTTAATATTTCGGTTTTAAATGAAGTTAGGCCTTAATGTGCTTCCAGACAATTGATTTGTTTAATTATGTAGGCCATGCAAGAAGTTTTTGATTTTCCTATAGTTTTCTTCCTTGCATTCCTTTAGATTTCATGTAGTGTTTGTTTTAGAGATCAATGCCTTTCCTTTGGAATAAGTCAATGTGGAAAAGGGAGACCAAAAGGGAACTAATTTTATACCAATTTAAGAGTCTCACTTGAAACATATATGTAATAAATGTTAAGTCTAAGATTTTGGCGCATAACATGAAGACATTTTCACAGAACATACTGCTCTCAGGTCAGGTGGGACAATCCAGAGGATGACATCCTTAAAAAAAAATAGTGAGCTTTTCCCTACTAGGCATCTTCCCTCAGGCACCAAAACTGCAGCCATCCAATAAAGGAGGAAGGGCAGAAAGAGGAGGCTTTAAAAGTCACAAATACTCTTCAGTAGCTAATTTTTAGCAAGTCTGGCAATAAGATTTTTCCATTCTGCTCTCTTCTTCGTGATGTACGTGGGGGTGAGCAGCTGCAGCAGGGAGTCTGGCTGTTGCCTAAAGAAGTTCTGACACAAGGCCTCAGTGTTACAGATCACGTACATCCCACAGTCATAGCTGTTTTGTTGAGCAGGGGCTTTCTCTTCCACAAAGACCAGTTTGTCTCCTTTTCTACCTAAAAAAGCTTCTAGTTTCTCTGCTACCTGCTTTGCATGGATGGAGTTGCTTTTGCTATGGGAATCATAATGAAAAAAGCTATTTTTATCTTGGAGATAAACCAACAAACTCCAGTGGGTTCCTCCAGCTGCCTGGTTGGAGTTATCATTGATGGCTAAAAATAGAACTCTCTTGTGGGGAAGATTCAGGGGTTCAAGGAACATGGCGATTTCTGCTGCGCTGTTAGTGCACTTGATGAACTGTGTGACTTCGGGGCTAATGAAGCATACATGGTCAGAGCAGTCACGAAATTGACTGTTGGCAAAATACTCAAAGGCAAACCCAATAATATGGTCATTGAGCCAGCTTGGTGGGTCCAGTAGCGAGATGTCCGATTGCCGCAGAAGACTGTCCATGTAACTCAAGACTATGGGGTCCATCTTGTACTGACTGGGGCTGGTCAGAAGTTCCTGAAGCTGAAGGAGAGGCAGAAGACAATGTCTACTGTTGAATATGATACCAGGCTGTAAAATGGTAACTATTTGTACAGGGTTGTGGTAAAGATTAAATATATTTGTAGTTTAGTAACAATATGTACCTGGCCATGACTAAACATGCAAGAAACTAGCATATGTTCTATATATGAACAATTATTTAGAATGAAAACTTTGAATATTTTCTGTGCAGATCCTAAGTACGAAATTTAATTTTCTATTTTAATGTAGAGATAAAATCATAGCTAATGTTTTAACAAGTACTGTAACAGGAACCATATGTTGGCTTTTTAATGAATATATCTGACAATAGCAAATTATTTTTATGTTAAAGATGAATTTAAAAGATCTGAGGAAAAAAGTTACTAATTACCAAGGGAAATAGTTCCCATTTTAACACTGATTTTCAAGAGATTTTCTCCCTCCTTCCATAAGGGAAAGTAATAGTGATTAGAATTACAGTTAAAAGGAACTCTAATTTTAAGAACAACAACAAAAAAATCACATGAATAATACAAATGAAATTCATTTCTGATTCTGACTAGCATAAGTGATATATAACATGTCTGCTCATTTCCCATCTTTGACCTCAAGGGGTGGGATAAAGACCATGAAATTAGAAAGTCTTTTCATTCTCCCTCCTTTCCCCTCTTCTCCCCTTCTTTCTTCCTTTATTGTGGCACTGAGGATTGAATCCAGGGAGCCTGAGCTTCATCCTCAACCCTCTTTTTAAAAAAAATTTTTTAAAAATTTAGCCCTGTCTTTCAAGATTGCCCATGCTGGTCTTGAACTTATAATCTTCCTCCCTCAAGCCTCACAGATGACTGGGATTATAGGGATACAACACCATGCCTGGCTCTTGTGACTGTTTTGGTACCAGGGATCGAACTTGGGACCTTGTGCTTGCAAGGCAGGCGGCATAACCACTGAGCTAAAACCCTGGCCCCTCTTGTGACTTTTTGAAGGGCTGTGTGGCCGAGGAATCAGAAGGCCTGGGTCTAGCCCTAGTTTACTCCTGATGAGCTAGTTACATTTTGAACAGCCAATTAAATGTTTTTGTCCTTGTTTTTTGCCATCTGTATAAAAAGCATCTACTTGCCTTCCATACCTGAGAGAGTTGTAGAGAAAGTCAAATACTTTTACTTGAAGGTACTAGAAGAATTTTTAAAAAGTTGTTCAAATAATATTTATGTTATCCTTTGGATGATATTAGTTTAAGACAATCCGAAAATCCAGACAGAACTCCAAACCAATCAAAGCAAGTAGTGTTTGGGAACAAGTATCCATTCAAATGATCTTGTCCAAGTAACAGAATGACTAGTTTAGAACAGAAGGAAGACAAGTTGTCTGATGGGATTAATATGCTTGTGATCATCCAAGGCACGATGCTAACAAAGACAAGAAATCTTATTGGTATAGAAGATGATATAATATTTGAGCCTATAGACTCAACAGAGTTAACAGTTAACTGCTATACACTGACCTGGCAGCGTAGTATTTCTAAAATTCACACAGCAATAAACTGTTACACACAGTTTGGGAGTATAAAACAAAGCACAGTGCTGGTGTGGTGGCACATGTCTGTAATCCTAGAACTGGGGGAAGCTGAGGCAGGAAGACTGCAAATTCAATCCCAGCCTGGGCAATTTAGAACCTGACTCAAAAAATAAAGGGAAATGGGGATGGGGGAGGCTAGGGATTAGGCTCAGTGAAAATGCCTTGTGTTCAATCCCCAGTGTCACCAAAACAAGTAAACAAATAAGCCAACCAATGCATAAGAAAACAGTAATATTGCTATAAAAGGGCTAGAGTTATGACATCAATTTAATTAATTCTGGCCATTAGACCAGTTATTTTAGCATTTGATTATACATTAAAAGAATGTAATTTTTAAATTTTGTGACATAACTATTTTTATGTAATCTAAACCCCACAAAAACCTATACAAAAAAATAAATATACCCTTCAAGAAAAAAAGCTGAAGTAAATGAAGTAACGAAGAGATATCCAGGATGGTTTTATGTACACTGAATATATCATAATCTGAAGTACTTCAGAAACAATATATAAGGCTGCTTATGAAAAAATATTCATATATAAATAAGATAGCATGAATTAACATTATCTGAAGACAGAATAACTAGAGCAGAGACCTAAACTAGAGCCAGGAATGAAGTTAACGAGGCATAGAGCACATTTGTTATGGGTGAGCCACAAGTTTGGCTCTAAGCTTTTTGGCAGGTAACCAGACAGAGTTAAGTTAAACATTCACAATGTCCATAAGGTAAAAACAAAGTTACTGCTCAGGAGAAGTAAAAGTATTCCTTGTATTAGGGTCAGATAGTTTTTTTCCCTTCAAGAAATATCCGTGGGAGACAAAATGGTGTATCATAACAAATATGTCCCACAATATCCTTAAGATAGACTGAATTGCTTGACAGGATTCTTTCTTATAATGCTCCTTAATATCTTGCCTCATGGCCAGTGGGCAAATGGCAGTCTAGTGGGAGGACTGGTGGAGACTAGATACAAGCTTGCCCATCCGACCTGACCAGGCATAAATGAACACAGAGGGGATGACGACACGAGTGTCAAGTGAGGCACTGGACAAGCACCCACCCAGGCCTTCAGTGAATACTGGGTAGTGGTGAGTGCCAGATTGAACAGCTTGGCAAAGCCCTGGGGACCTGAGAGCCGCCAGCTGAAATCAGATTCACACTTTAACAGCCAGCGAGGGGCAGGAGCCTACAAAGAAGAGTGGCTGCACAGACGGTCTCTCACCTTGGAGGGAGCGTCCACAGGCAGGGCCAGTATTTTCTTCAGAAAGTTTTTGTGGGCTGGGGATGTACGTAACTCAGTGGTAGGGCACTTGCTAGTGTGTGTAAGGCCCTGGGACCAATTCCTGAAACTGCCAAAAAATTTTTTCTTTTGTATTTTGTCTGAGTTTTAAAATATCCAGGATGTAGACAAAGGATTAAACCTCTAATTCTATTTCATATAGTATGACTATAATAGATTAACTCACAAAATTCAAACAAAAACAAAAAGAACTTAACTAACCTTTGGCCAAACCACCTTGGCCAATAAAAAGAACTCTAAACTTTTTTTTTGAGACAGAATCTTGCTATGTCATTCAGGCTAGACTTAAATTCACAATGTAGCCCAGGGTGGCCTAAAACTTGTTGGGATCCTCCTGCCTCAGTCTTCAGAGTAGTGGGATTGAACACAGGCATGTGCCACCATGCCTGGGTAAACTTTCCATTTAAAGACTTGAATTTTAGGTGCCCACTTGTGGTCTCTGCTCTTGAGAGGCTGAGACCAGTGTGAACCACATAGTGAGAACTGGTTTCACACACACACACAAAAAAATGGAAAAGGAAAAAATTCTAGATTCAGTTCTGTTAATCTATGTGATTATAAATAAATAACTCAATTTTTTTGGAGACATGTATTGCTATGTAATTCAGCTTGGCATAGTGATCCTCCTGCCTCAGTCTCTGGAGTGCTGGACTTAATTTCCTTCAATCACAATTTCCTCTTCTATAAAGTAAAACTATTTTTTTTTTTTTTTTGGTACCAGGGATCAAATTTGGGTCCTTGTGCTTGTGTAGCAGGTGGCAAAACCACTTTTTTTTTTGGTACCAGGGATCGAACTCCAGACCTTGTGCTTGGGAGGCAGGCGCCGGACCCACTGAGCTAAATCCCTGCACCCCTCCTTTTTTGAAACAGGGTCTCGCTATGTAGCTGGCCTCTAACTTGTGGTGATCCTCCTGATTCAGCCCCCTGAGTGCTGGGATTACTACTACTTCTGGCTAGGGTATTTGTTAGTATGAAGAAATATATGTAATGGAGATTTTAAAAAATACAATAAAGTATTTCCATATATCTGTTATACCATCAGGAAATTTATATCCTGTTAACTATCATATATTTCACTTAAATGTTTATTAGAGGCTTCCTTGGTCCTAGGGATACAGAATGAAAATGAAATAGTTGCTGGGGATTGTGATGCATGTCTGTAATCATCAGCACTCTGGAAGGCTGAGGCAGGAGGATCACAAGTTTGAGCCTAACCTAGGGAATTTAGCAAGACCATCTCAAAATAAAAAATAAAAAAAAGGGCTGGAGATATAGCTCAGCACAAAGACCCTGGGCTCAATCCCCAATACTGCCAACAACCCCCCCAAAACAAATAAACAAAAAACCCATAGTTCCTACCATCACTGAGCTTAAGCTTACTATAACAGACACATAGAGCACATACAATTTTTTTAGTCAAAACACTGAGTACCTAATATTAGTTGCTGTGAAACATGCAAAGATGTACAAGTTACTAGTAGCTTCTAGTCAATGATATAGGAAACCAATAAGAGGTACAAATAAAATGTATGGGAATTCAGAAGAAGGAACAATCACTTCTGGCTTAAGAGGATGTCTTAGATACATTCTTGTTGCTGAGATACAGTATCTGACACCTGTAACTTAAAGGAGGAGAAGTTTATTTTGGTTCATGTTTCAGCAGTCTCAATACTCACATGGTTGGCTGGCACTAAGGCAGGGCAGCATGGCAGAGGGGCCTGGTAGAGCTGCTCATGGCATGGTAGACAGGAAGCAGAGCAAGTGAAGGGAGGAGCTGGGGAGGGGGATAAACCAGGCCACAGGCCCAGTGGACCACCTCTTCCCACCTCCTAACAGCAAGTCAGCAATAAGCCCCTATAATACAATCACCTTCCAAAAGCCTCACCTTTGAGTGCATCAGGTTTTGGGGAGACATCTAGATATAAACCATAACATTCCGCCCCTGGCCCCCAAAAACTCGTTATCTCTACATGCAAAATGCATTTAGTCCATCTGTAAGATTTGTCAAGTCCTACAGTTTCAGCACTGCTGAAAAGTTCAAGTCCAGAGTCTCCTCTGAGATTCAAGGCAAACTCTCAGCTGTAAGGCCCTATAAAAATCAAAGAGAAAGTTAACATTGCCGATATATAATGGCATAGTGTAAACATTTCCATTAAAAAAGAGAGAAAGTCGGATATGCTGACACATGCCTGTAATCCCAGCACTTGGGAGGGTGAAGCAGGATGATTGCTGTGAGTTTGAAGCCAGGCTGGGTTACACAGTTCAAGGACAGCCTGAACTACACAGAGAGACCTTGTCTAAAAAAAAAAAAAAAAAAAATAGAAACCAGTGGGATCAAAACAAGATCAAAGGGATGGAAATTTAGCTCAGTGGTTCCACCACCTGCCTCCCAAGTGCAAGGACCCAAGTTTGATTCCCGGTACCAAAAAAAAAAAGATCAAAATCCAACAGGGCAAATGTTAAGTCCTATAGTTTCACATCCAGCATCCAGGGCAAGTTGTGGCAAGATCTGAATGTCAAAGGGCTTAAGCAGCCCTGCCCCCATGGCATTGCTGGTGGTTAAAGCAGCCCTCATGGCTTCTCCCTTAAGTGGTTTTGCTCATTCTTTCATGTTCCTCAGACTTTCCATGTTCCTGGCTTCTCTGACTTCCTGGGGTCTTCACTGCACTTTTGGCTTTACCCTGTTTCACACACTGCCCTCTCAGGGGCATACTGCCTGGTCTCCTAGGCCTTCTTCTGAAATCTGGGTGGAAGCCTCCACAACCTCAAAACTCTTACATTTCTGCATGCCTGTAAGACCAGCACCATGTAGGTGATGCCAGGGTCTGCTACCAGCTGGAGGAGTAGCTGAGTCCTTTTGGATCTTGCTGGTTACAGTGGCTTCTGAGTGCCTGGATGGCTGAACATGGTGAACTGAATCCCTAGGCAGCCCTTCTCCAACATAATGCCCAAAGGCTCTCTTCTTACAGCAAACCTTTCATTTTTGCAACTTGAGCCTATCAAGGGTGGGGCCTTGCTGTTTCCTGTGATGTCCTCAAGACATCTTTTCTATTGTCCTGTTTTAAAGTACTGGCTTCTTTTTAATCCAAATCTTTTCAGCAACAAAGCTCTGCCCCACCTTCACAGGCCTTTCCTTTCTGGAGAAACTCAAAATTTTTCAAATAGACTTTTTGTTCTGGAATTTCAGTATAAACCTGGCTAAACCCAGGCATGGTGGCACATGCCTGTAATCCCAGCACTCGGGAGGCTGAGGCAGGAAGACTGCATCAGTTTGAGGCCAGCCTGGACTACACAGTGAGTTCAAGGCCAGCTTGGACCACATAGTTAAGGCCCTGCCTCAAAAAACCAATCAACCAAATAACACACACAAGACTGCCTAAAAGCAGCAAGCAGTATACTGGCCCCAGACCCAACACTGGGCTGCCTTGAAATTTCCTTCACCAGATTAATTAGCCTATTGCCTTTTATTGCAGTCTCTTGCAAAGTCTCTGGACATGAACAAAACATAGACAAATTTTCTGCCAGAGCATAACACATATGGCCTGGAGTTCAACTGCCAATGGAGTCCTTCACAACTAAAAGTCTCCTGAGCCTGGTCTTTACCATCCACACTTTTATCAGCATTCTGGTCTTCTGAACTCTGACCACAATCTCCTCTCAAGCTCAGTTTACGGCATTCTAGGGCTGCTTCTCTAGCTGGCATTTCAAACCTTTCTCAACTCCTCCCACTAACCTGTTCCAAAGGTGATGCCAAAGACCAGTGCTCCTGTGAAGAAGCAAAAAGGCAGACTTCCTTCTTTTTCTTTGAATTCTATTCAGGTTACTTTGTATTCCATTCAGCCTACTGGATGGTAGCCCACATCCAAGGTAGGTCTTCCATCCTGTTTTCAGTCTACATATCAATCATCCAGACACATTCAAAACAGTGCACCACTAATCCATTAGGAGTTTTTTTTTCCTTTTGGACAGTCTTGCTTTTAGTTCAGGCTGGCCTTGCACTTACTATATAGCCCAGGCTGGCCTCAAATTTGTGGCAATCCTCCTGCCTCCGCCTCTGGAGTGCTGGGACCACCACTATGCCTGGCTACTAGGTGTTTCTTAATCTATTCAAGTTGACATGCTAGCACAGCTGGTGAAAGGGGAGGAACTTCAGGCAAGGAAAGGGTTCAAGGAGAAAATGGCATAAAACTGGGCTCTTGAAGGGCAAGTGGAGCTAGATGCATTGAGAAAGGCATTATGGTAGGAGAGACAAAGAAAGTACCTCTAAATCTGGAAGGACCCAAGTACAGTAAGTCCTTGACTTATGAAGGAATTCTGTTCCAGAAGAATGTTCCCAACTGAGATTAAGTATATTTGACACTTTGCACTTCCTAGAAGTCCCCTCCAGATCACCGTTTTTCCTCTTGCTCTGGACATCCTGGGCTCTGACTGAGCACTGTACTACTGTACACTATTGCACTGTACAGTAAGCACACAGCAGCACGTGACAGTGTCTGAGATATGTGAGCTACTTCTGCAATTTGTTCACATTTACAGCTGTTTGTAATGTGAGGACTGTTCTTATCTGTGAAAGTTTGTAATTTGAATGTTTGTAAGTTGGGGACTTGCTGTAGTCTAGTATAGCTGGAATGAAGTAGGAGTAGGTGGAGTGTAGGTGAGGGTTAGAGGAAGAAAATTATATTAGAAGCTAAACAGTGACAGAATGAATTCCCTGTGGGCTGGGCCTGGTGGTGCACACCTCAAATCCCAGCACTTGAGAGGTGAGGCAAGAGGACTGCCATGAATTTGAGCCTTGCCTGGTCTATATGTGAGTTCAAGGCCAGCCTGAACTACATAGGGAGACCCTATCTCAAAGAAAAAAGATGAACTCCCTGTGAAGGAATTTGGGATTTATGCTGGAGGAAATGGGGAGCCATTAATGCCTAGATCAGTGGTGGCTAACCTACGACATGTGTGCATGCAGAGCTCTGTCAGTACGTGAGCCAAGTGTTATTAGTTGTTTTTTCTAAACTAAAACTTCAGTATTCAGGTTTAATTGCAGTGCTGGCACTCTGTGGTAAGTAATGGATTTTGCATTGCAGTTTAGGCACTCAGAAATGGCTTTTTTTTTGGTACTGGGGATCGAACTCAGGATCTTGTGCTCAGTCTCTAAAAGGTTAGCCATCACTAGTCTAGGTCAATGTTGAGGAAGATTAAGGAATTCAGGCATAATATACAGAATTAATTGGTAGGAAGAGAAATTAGAGGCAGAGATTAATGTAGTAGGATGGAA